GCTGTCATTTATGTGTTGCAAGGCATAACATAAAAAGTCTTTGTGGTTACATTAAAAACTCATTATTCTAATGCCTCGAGTTTTCATACATAAGTCACAATTGTTATTTTATTCAGTTGCTCTTATGTCTAGCACATACCTGACTCTCTTTTATTTTAGAGGGCTTTATTTAATGTATTTCCTTTTGCTGTCATGTGCCTGTGTAAAATCACAGAGGATGTCTGGGAAGGTGTAAAAGGATGTGTGATGGTTACAGTAGTGATTATTTCAGCTTCATATGAAGGAGGAATGCTGGGCTCCCAGCCATATGATACAGAAGGCTTGCTATTGGCCGGAGATTACAAAGAATTTTTAAATCTTTCTTGGCTGTAAAATAGTCTGGAGATCAGTGCAATAATTTATCTCTCTATATATTATGAATGAAAGAGTGTGATTCTGTTGCAATCTGTATTTTCTTGAGTTTGGTCATTGTTTAATGATAGATGGTCTAAATAGGCAAGGTAGTGTTGTAACAATGCAAAAGTGGTCATTAAAATGTAATGGAATTGATTTCCTTTATTTGGGAAGTATAAACTCAAAAACTTCCACTGCAGAATCTATTTTTGAAATGCAAGAATTTAACATTATTGCATCTTTTTTACTTAAAAGGATTTAATAATTCAAAATCATGATACCTGAGAATATTTAAAAGCACTAAGGCATGAATTTATCAAAACTCTTCCCTTTTCCAGTCCAGGTTAAAAAGTTAAAGCATGAATCAATTTGGTGGGAATCGGCAAACCGCTTGCTTTATTTTTCATAGTACACACAGATCTATATACCATGAATGCAGCTTTCAAAAGTATTATAAATATTGTGAAATGAGCAGATACTGCTGTGATTAATTATATGGAAACTTCTTAAATTGATCCTGATACAAAATTAATAAAAACAAAAATTACCCTTTAAATAAAAGGTTATACTTACCTGTCCATCCATCACTGCAGTGACATGGTGCCAGCAGAAAAAACCCCAGCAATAAGTGGGGAAAAAGGAATCCAACACTTTCAGAACTGTGTTGGATGAAGATGATTCTTACCATAGCCCCTATGGAGTGTGTAGAACAGCAGAGCAGAACATGTAAGTAAAACATTTTTTTCATTACAAAGGAACCACTTTTCCATTTTTAAATTTTTTTAAAACTCAAAGTGACATTTGAAGGGAGTATCAGTATTCCCAAATAGTTCATGCCACAATTTTCTTTTTTATTTACTCTCCTCATATACATGCTCAGACATCATTATATATAAAAATGGTTAATTACCCAAGGAGCATGTTCACTTTAAAAGTGAATTTTCATTTGGTAAAATTTATTTAGCAAAAAATATCTAATCATGTGCAAGGAAAATAAAAAACTGGATTTTTGCTTGCACATTTATTGATGATTCAATCAGCTAAACCTCATTCTCTAAGCTAAAGAGATGAGGTTGGGATGAAGTTCTGATTTCTATCAACTAATCATGTGAATGTGAAAATTCTTTTTTTATCTTGTACATTATTGGGAATTCTTTTCAAAGTAAACTTCACTTTGGTTTCACCTCATTGATTAGGATCAGTGAAAATTCACTTCACAAAGTGAAAATGTTCTGCTCTTTTAGAAAATCAGGGTCATTAGCACTTGTTTTTTGACTTTACAACAAATATGGGCAAACTTCATTTATATGAGTCTTTATGTGCTCATGCAGATTAACCTTTTCCATTGAACATAAAACTCCCCAATTGCAGGTGTATTGTTTCCATATACACTCTGGAGAAACAAGGAGTAAGAGTCGGTCTGATCTCAAATGAGTGTGTAAGTAATGTTTGACTCTCGATCTGTATATATGTTGTGCGTCACAGACTCAAAATGTACTATAGGCAGTAGATGACCAACAGCATGGCAACTAGCATTTTCAATGGAAAGTTCAGCAATATTTCTGTACAGAGGGTTGGGTTCATTCTGGTATAATAAAACCAGTGCACATGTGGCAGTGTTATTGGTATCAGTGGACTACATGAACTGAAGCATTGCAGAGAGAAGGTGAGTGGCCTTCAGCTATTTCCTGATTACCTGTTATCTGACCTGCTATTCTGCCTTTCTGTGTATGACCCAGCTCACCTCCTGACCTGCCTCTGGGCCTTTACCTCCTCCTTGTGACACTGGCCTGTCTTTTGGACTTCACTTACTGTCTCATATATTTTTTTCCTGGCTGTTTTTGACTTCCTGCTCTGGTATTGGCTGTTTCTGACCTCAGTGTGTGCCCCAAACCTGCCTCTTCTAGAACCCCACTGCCTAGTGGTGTCTGACCACAGCAAGTGCTCAACCTAGTTCCTGTCACCTGCTCTGAGACCTTTAGAGTTCCTGCACTGGGTTCCTGCTCCATGGTCCACAGTTCTCTGCACCACACATCTGGTAGTGACATATATATGGTACTGCCTGCAACTACAGCACTCATTCCACTTCAATCTTATTCTCTCTGTCAGCACCTTCAGGAGTGTTGGCCAGGAGTTTCAAGAGGAGTCCCCTTCATCTATTTAGTCTCTACCAGGTATGTGATAGTTTCTTATGAAAAATGTCCTTTAACTGAAACACAAAAACTATGTATAGCCACTTTCACTCTTTCTCTGCAGGTTAGGTTATTGGTCTTAAAACTATTACAATTTTTTTTACTGTAGTTTTTTTTTTTTTCAATTATGGGAAAAAAGTAACACATTGAAGAAACAGTTTGCCCTTTGTGGTTCCTTTAAGTGTTCCAATTTATCATTACTATGGCACATTAATATTTTGCAAAACAGCAGGTTAAACTTAATTACGGTATAATCAGCAGGAAATGTTAATATAAAAAATAATGCAAATCTTTTTCTGACATTTATCCAATGTATTGCCTGTTTTAACAGAGACAGTAAATGGACAGTGGAAACATATTTTCTTGCAGATTTAAAACTCCATACTGTATTAATTGAAATTTGTGAATAGTAAAGGTTTAGTAAATCATGTTCTGCAGGTCTACTTCACTTGCTGAACATAAGACTCAAACATGATAAGGATTACTATTTAGAATTGCCAATTACAACTTAACTAATCTTGTTTTCTAGTGCTGGATTTCTGGGTTCTGGAATCTGGCAACTGCTAATTTATAGGGTTCTGTTGATTTAAAAAAAAAAATAATTCTCAGAACAAAGCTTGACATTGTCAGAAATATGTAAAGTCTTTCATTCTTTGCATGGCAGCATCTTAGACCGAGACAATGATCAAATAGTGGTGGGGGGAGTACATCATCTGAACATTGTTTTACAATCAGAAGTGGTCAAAGTCTGCTAAAGAATTAATTTTCTGTAACAAGTAGAATGTAAATAAAATTTTAATATTTTCAAAATCTATAAAAACTACAGATATTATCTGTGTATACAGTCAGTAGTTCTTATAGTGTCCCCCAAGCAGCATGACTATAAGTTTTAAGTTGACATATGCCTGAACACTAACTTTTCTATGTTTTCCTAATACCTTACATGTAATGTGACATTCCTAGCTTAGAATGGAGAGTCCAAATGTGAGTTTTCTATTGATCATCTCATTTCTACAGGGACTATTGGTAGACAGCGACAGACCACTGTCACTAAATAAGAGGATGTGGCAAAACAAGAAAGATCATGGAGTAGTTCCAAGTATTAAATAAAAGTTGTAGTTTTACAAATGCTGAAGATGATTTTTGAAATTAACAAGTTAAGGCTTATATGAGATTTTAGTGATTGGGTTTACATACACTTTAAAGTTTATGTTTTCATTTGTAATTGCTTATGGGAGTGCAAGCACAAGCACTATATCCTGCTTGCATTATGTGCAAATACAAGCATTATGTTCTGATTTTGAATGTTATAAAGTGGATGTATTTTTCTGCGCCCACAATTAATATCTATTGATCTGTTAATCCACCAAACACAGTGCACTGCCTAATGATCGGTATATAATTTCAAAGTTTGTTAAGCAGAAAGGCTGGGTAATTGTAATGAAATGTTGAGCTTCCTCAGATGGCTTATCTACAAATAAATGCAAACATGTAAATCTGTAAAACTATATTAAGAATTGCAGTTATAACTTACAGTAAACCTATGACTAGATTATAGATTGTGAAATGTTATATGTTCCAACCAAGCAGTAACTGAGCATTATAACAAGCCCGCAATGCCCTCTGTAGCTGCAAACATTGTGGAACAATGTATCCTCAAAGTTCACAAAAAGAATGTTTAGGTTGCATTTCAGCACCCTCTTTCTGTGCACCTGGTCTGTGTTTACATCAGAAATTAGAAGGCTGGCAGGCTGTGAAATCATTGCTGGGAAGGGAAAACAGAATAACTAAAGAAAAATAAAAAGTAAATACTATTGCTTTCTGCTCTTATCTTTGAGTGCCTAAAGCTGCAAATGTTAGTGAGTGCTTGCTTTTATGCACATTTTTTGCATTTTCAGAATATAAAAATATTTAAAACATGCATAGACTAGCCACTGCAGCACTTTAACCTCCTCGGCGGTCTGATTATTTCCGATTTTTTGTGCTGAAAGCGGTACCATTTTTTTGCATCGGAATATGTAGTTTTTTATTGTAGGCTGTGATTTTTAGGAATAACTCACTGAAATCTGTACGAACAAGAGTCTAGTAAACATCCCGGGTAGGATAAAATTTGAAGCACGAAATCATAAATTATAATTTAATAAATAATCATAAAAAATAATAATATAATAATAATAAATTTAATTCAATAATATAATCAAACCAAAAACACTGAAATTTGAAATACAGAGGCAAATTCGCACATCGCTGAGCAAAGTCGCAAAATCATTTTCATGACAAATTCCCCCACGAATCATTATCACTCAATTCTGCAAGTGGTTCTGATTTACTATCGCTGTTCTCTAGCTGGTCTAAAACCGCTTTTGACCTAAAGGGACGCTTTTTGGACGCCATGGACTTTTCTAAGTTTCCAGGCAGAAAGAACAGTCAAAATGCAGGCAGGGCACAAGACAAAGCACTAGGGACAAAATGTATGTGAAATGCATTGAAACAGCAATGTTTTACTATGTAATAGTCATTTTAAAAAAAATTACATTTTTTAAAAATTTCAAATTTGCCGCCAGCTCCGGCACCCGTACGTCCCGACGTCACAGGGACCGGAACACGGAAGCTGGATGCCGGCATCGGCCAGAGGAGATGGCCAGGGACTCTGCAGGGGACACATCGTGGGAGCGAAGGACAAGGTAAGGGCTGCAGGGACTCCCTGAGCAACGCCGCATGGTAAGCCCGAGTGTAGCTCGGGGTTACCGCTTTTGGTACTGACATTTTACCCCGAGCTACACTCGGGAATACGCTAAGGAGGTTAAAGCATTTTTTAAGCTAAAAGCAATGCTGGAAAAACACTGGATAAAAAACGCTGGTAATAACGTTTTAAGTAGCGTTTAGGAAAAAAAGCTAGAAAAAAGCTATTAGGAGACTTTTAGTAGCGTTCAGTAGCATTTAGCTGCATTTAAGAGCGTTTAGGAGCACTTAGAATTTTTTTCTGCAGGAAAAATGCTCAAAAAAACTCTACAAAAAATTTTTTTTTTTTTGTGCTCCTAGACGCTGAAGCTCAAAAAACGCCAATAGTAGTGTGCATGAACACAGGATAACACTATTTAGCTTCTAGGAGCAGTAAAAAAAATGCTAAAAACAGCTTCTTGGAGCTTAAAAAAATGCTAGTGTGCATGGATCCTTAAATATTTGTTCAATACAAACAACTTTACTCTCCTTTTAACCGTTTTGCTGCTGCTGCTGTAAGTGCTTCCATGTATACAAATGCAAGACCAAAATAGCAGTCAAGAGTTTTTTTTTTCCTGGCTCTGTTGGCTATGTATCCAAAGTGATTGATTCCCAATCTCTTCTACATCCCTGGAAAGGTGCAGCTCCACTGCCAAAACCACCTGCCATGTGTCCCAGGCAGGGGCGAACTGACAACTCATGGCGCCCCAGGGCAATAGGGGATCATGGGGCCCCTGTGTCCTTACCCACACCCAAAAAATCCTATGAAAAAGCCAATGAAAGGTACCAGGGGCATCTCATGGGGCCCCCTACTGACCCCGGGCCCTCGGGCAGTGCCCGAGTGCTTGAATGGTCAGTCCGCCCCTGGTCCCAGGTCTACTTGTCTCCCCTGTGCAGTATGAATCCAGAGGCACTGAGATCTAAACAAAAACTGGCAGCTCAGGTATGGGAAGCAGCTAACTGAGCAGTTGATGTATGTTTTACCAAACATGTGCATTATATTGTGTTTGTATGCATTAAAATTAATTTGAGTGTATTTTTACTGAAAATATCGATTTGATAGACATGTGCAATAAAATTGTGCAGCATAAAAAAGTAGTAATAACCATCATTTTTTTTATTGCCCTTCTGCTTTAAGAAAATATATAATATTTTTGGGAGTTTTGAGTAATTTGTAGACCAAAAAATAATATTTAACAAAGGATTTGGCTGCAAATATGTTAGACAACGTGCAAATATCAAGTTCTCCACTTTAAAGATTTCATTGTGCCAAATGCTGTGACTTTAATCATTCTGTATGTCCATTTTTACCTGGACAGCCATTTGATTTATTGATTTATTGCACAGTATAGTAAATTGTATTATTCTCAAACTGGAGCATTTCATGGCTTTTATGGACTAAGCCATTCTTTCATTGTCTTTATTTCATCTCTGAATAAAACAAGAACCATATGAATGTAGATATATTTTTTAAAAACCCAGTAATTATACTTTAATTAATTTCATGAGTGAATATTGCTTATTAGCACATAAACTGATGAAACAGAAATATTCAAATGTTTGAATGAATGTTTTCTGTATACCAAATGTAAGAAGCTCATGTTATGCAGTAAAAATAAATCTGGTGCTACTAGAAAATTAATAGGTTTAAAGTAATAGAAAAACCTTTGTGCCTCAAATGTCCCAATGCCATGTAATATGATATGTATCCTTGTTGCTATAGCTCAAATACCAAAAATCACTGTTTTACCTTTTTTTACATGATTTTCCACATTGTCACATGATCACAATTCCTCCACACCTGCTAACATTGAGGGTTTAAGGGTTTCTATGGCAACAGAGTCAACAATGTATAGTGTGTTTTTTTATATAAAGGAGGAGAGGCACACACTTACTTACACTTACTTACTTACCTACTCTCATTCATAAGAAATCATCTGACATGCATGCGGCAGAGGACAGGAAAGGAGTTGCGGGTCCAACAATGGTATAAGGAAGTAGGATTCAGCAGCGGTATTCAACAGTGACATTATAACATTGTCAGCCAGAGTAAAAGAATAGTCAAGAACAGGGCAGAATGAGAGGGAGAATATCAGTAGTAGTTACATAGGCAAGAATAAATAATACAAAAAGTAATTAATTGACTCATAGAAATGTGAAATTTAAAGCTTTGACTGGAATTCCACTTGAAATAAAACCTACAGGGTTCTGTCTGTAATACTAAATATTATATGATGTAGGGAAAATGTTGCTATAAACACATGGCCAGTCCTAGTATTGTGATAAGAGACACTGTACATCCCCCAACCCATTTGACATGTAACATCTAAGCCAGTGGTGGGCAACCTTTTTTTTCAACTGAGCCAAATCTCGCCAAAACCACGATTGAAATTTTATTTTGAGAGCCACATTTTTAAAACTGAAAATACATCCCCCATATAGTAATTCATCCCCCATAGTAATTCATCCCCCATAGTAATTCATCCCCCATATAGTAATTCATCCCCCATATAGTAATTCATCCCCCATAGTAATTCATCCCCCATATAGTAATTCATCCCCCATAGTAATTCATCCCCCATATAGTAATTCATCACCCATATAGTAATTCATCCCCCATGTAGTAATTCATCCCCCATGTAGTAATTCATCCCCCATATAGTAATTCATCCCCCCTATAGTAATTCATCCCCCCTATAGTAATTCATTCCCCCTATAGTAATTCCATATATTGTGTCAATTCACTTACCTTTGCTCCGCGCGTTCTTCTCGCCGTGTTCCCGCGCCGTTCTGGTCTTCAGGGCGGACTGTGAGAGGAGAGGAGTTCGTCATGCTGCCCCCGCCTACATCCTGGCTGCCCCGCCTACATCCTGACAGCTGCAGAGTCCTGACTTTTGGGGCGGCCGCCCGAGAGGAGGGAGGGGAGCGGGCGCCCGGCACACAGAAGAGCCGCATTTAAGTTTGTAAAGAGCCGCATGTGGCTCGCGAGCCGCGGCTTGCCAACCACTGATCTAAGCCAAGGGCCAAATGTCTCAGTGAGCAAATCTCAGAATGTTCATGGGGATAGAATATTCAATGTATTAGGCTGCCTGTAACTTGACATCAATATATATGAAGGCTGCTGAAAAAGAAAAATACTGTTACTGTGGTAGCAAGAAGAAAACATTTTTGGCAGTATTGGAAAAATTGTCTAGTTGCAAATTGAGATTGTTGGAAGCTCTGCTGTGATGACCTATGGTGTTATCCTTTACTGTTCCTGATGGGCAGTCAGAATATTTGGTAAGAGGCAGTTTATTTGGTGTGGAGGTTCTTCCCTTGTGTGTCCTTCTCTTTTGAGCACCTTCATCCAAGTTTAATTTATTGGAGACCCTGAAGGACTATCAGCTTTTTCTTATGTATTTGTACCATCAGACTGGATTTACTTTTGCAATATAATGGACATGTTTTATTATTCATTTTATTATTATTATTATTATTATATTATTATACAGTATTTATATAGCACCAAAGGGTATGCACAGCGCTGTACAGTAGCAAGGGGACAGAACATGAGACAAGACAGTAACAATACAATACACGAGGGGTTCGAGGGCCCTGCCCTTTCGAGCTTACAATCTAGGAGGGAGGGGAAAGTGGTACAGGAGGAAATGGCTGTGGGGGATGGAGTGGTGGGAGGAGTGGAGGAGGTTAGTTGTTAGGTGAGGTCAGGTGTTAGGTGAGGTTGGGGTAGGCTTCCCTGAAGAGGTGGGTTTTCAGGGTGCGCCTGAAGGTGAGGAGGGTAGTTGACAGTCTGATGAATTGGGGTAGGGAGTTCCAGAGGATGGGGGAAGTCCTAGAGAAGTCATGTAATAGGTCGTGGGAGGAAGAGACCAGGGATCTAGACAGTAGGAGGTCCTGTGAGGAGCGGAGGGCACGGGTAGGGTGGTATTTTGGTATCAGGTCGGTTAGGTAGTTTGGGGCGGCGTTGTGGATGGCTTTGTAGGTCAGAGTTAGCAGTTTGAATTTGATGCGTTGGGCAATCGGGAGCCAGTGAAGGGATTGGCAGAGGGGGTGGCAGATGTGAAGCGGTTGGTGAGGTGGATGAGTCTAGCCGCTGAGTTCAGATCGACTGGAGTGGGGATAGCGTTCGTCTGGGTAGGCCAGTGAGAAGGGAATTGCAATAGTCCAGGCGTCAGATGATGAGATTTTATGTCTTATAGTTAGCGATACACTGCCATCCTGGACTGTCAAGATGAGTTAGAGGGGAATGGGAGAGGGGGGGGGGGAGGTTCACATTTAGCCAGGGATGTGGTTTGAATTCTGTTGGACAAAACAGATCATTTTTCAGAAGATCTTCAGCATTGAGTACAGTTCTGAGTGTCTCAAATGCCTGGTTCATCACCATACATTGTTGTTTCTTCCATCAGCCCATGCATCCTGTATTACCGTAAGGACTGGCAGAAAAAAAAAAAATCACAGAATGTAGTAGCGGGTGCCATCATTCAACACTCCCAGAAGTATTCAATACAAGAGATCTTTTAGCAAACCTTATTTTTTTTTTAAATAGTAAGATTTGGTGGAATGGGCAGCAAGTTGGGCAATAATTATTTATTTTGATTGCAAGGAGACCTTTATTTCATGTTTTAGAAAATAGCAACACTTTAGGGTTAAAGAAAGCAAATTTTTTAAATTGTCAAATGGCATTAGTAAGTAAATGTAACATATTGTTAAAAAAAATTGAATATTCAGAAAGGAGAACAAGGGAATATGAAGAATAGAAATGTGTTGTTTAATTGTGCAAAGTAAGTGCATAACTAATAAAAAAGGACAGCACAAAAATACGTACAGATCAATATGTATTACATAGATGACTCCTGCTATGCCTTCCAGTCTCAGAAACCAAGTATGGGTCGCCTCAAAGTGTGACTAACAGGTCTAACCCAAACTTGATTTCAAAGACCAAAAAGCAACCCTTTATCTGACTGGCAACAGTACATCCACAAAGTTCCAGCACTCACCATGGTTTCTGACATGGTAGTAAAAAATGTATATTTTATTTATATAAC